AACGATGATATAAAATTTTATTCATTATTTATTATTCATTATTCGTAGAACTTAGTTTTGTATTTAGAAATGGGAAAAGAGATAAAAGTTCCAAGTTATTAGCATTTAAACAATATCTGTACAGCGATTAGAGAAAAAGATTAGGGTACCAGTGTCTGTGTGGAAAAAGTATGAAACTCTGTGTTGTACAGTCTCTTTGTATTATGTTAATGCATTTTATACATGTGGCTGTGAAGTAAGTGATGCTTAAGTCAATAATGTCTGAAGAATCAGTATAAGTTTCTAACGTTTTAAGATGGTTTTACTCAAAATAATCTTAACTGGACACTTATCCTGTTTCCACTGTACTCTAACCCATAAGGATATGCAGCGTAATTTGGAAAGGATTGTAAGAGAAATTTCGAAATACACTTCCCAGTAAACTTCCCAGATACAGACAATTATAAAATCACACGACGTAACAGCTTGCAAAGGTTATTAGTATTTTAATTATTTCGTTTATAATCAGGGAACTATTTAAATGGAGAATTTAAAAACCATTAAATCCCAGTATTTATATAACCAACCAATCGTTAAGATTTCATACCTGGAATATAATTGCTTATAGATCTTATATCCCCCAAAATGTTCCATGAACTGGTTTAAGAGACACGAATTGCTCGTTAATCGACAGTTTCGCATGGAACGGGTCTAGGCAACACTCTCTAAAAATACTACGCCGATTCGAAGCCAGTTCTACATTTTCCACGTATCTTGTACTTACGTCACAGTTCAAGCCTAGAAAACTAATTAGAGAAAGTCGAATTTTTCGAAACAGCTAATTTATTCCACGTACTCATGCCCTTGGGAACATTCACGCGGAATCAACGATGCGTTCATACCGACGATAATAAGTTAATTACTTATATTCTTAACAGTTCATTACGCCTACATAGGAGAGCAATTTGTTGCCATTATCGTTAAGTCGGGAAATTAATAAAATTACCGTGTTACCGTTTATTGACCTCAATGAAGTTTCATTATCGCACAACAGATTCCGGGAAATTTCAAATATTTCCAGCTTACACAGGGTGTTTTAAGAAAATGTTAATGCATACGTGCAATGGAGAATTTGTACGTGTGTATTGGCGCTCGAAAGTTTAGAGCATATTATGATTTCAAGACAAATGTAATTTTCCTTTACCCTTTTGCTTGAGGCACAAGACGCCTGTGCATTGTTAACCCGCTATAACGCCATTTATCTACATTTTATTGGTTTATTGCTGTACTACTGCATTATATTGTTGTACTATTACATTACTACTAGCAAATATTTTTATGATAATTATTAATTCCTACTTTTCCAAGCAAAATGTAAGATTGTGATAAACGGTAACTTTTTTTTCTCGTGAACGAAGAAAAATCGGATTATAGAGGATTAAAAATACCACGGGAGAGACAGGAGGACGTAAGGTTTAATTAATAAATTTCTAGATACCACAGTTTTTCAGATATTTAAGTAAAATTTTCACAGCAGCTAGAAATATTCTGTAGCTAATTATACTATTATTCTGACATCACCTAATCATTTGAAACAAAAATTTCAAAACTTGGGTCGAATAATTGACCCAAATTGGTCCATGAGATTAAATGTATTAGTAAATACATGTTTTATTGAACATATTGTGTTACAGTAATGTAGTATCGGGGCTTCCATACCCCAAAAAATAGGAAACCGGCACATTACTCTGGTATTACTCTAGCTGGTAATCCGGAAGGTCCCGGGTTCGATTCCCGTTGGGGTTCCTCAATATTTTTCCCTAGGTTCCTACAAATGGGTGCTCAGCCGGGATGGAGGTATCTACGGCTACACGAAGCCAGGCGCCTGTGAGATGAAAACATGTGAGAGGGGGGTGCACGTCTCCCAAAAGAGTTTTGAGAAACAGAGTTTCGGCTGAGAGTGCCACTGTGTGGGGAGTGTACCCGAAAGTGTTGAGTGTACCCGAAAGTGTTGAGTTTGTCAAGGTGTTGAACTCTTAGGACATTCGGTGGGGTCCTTCGATATTTTTCCGTCGTCGGTTCCTAAAAATGGGGGCCCGTCCGGGATGCAGGCATCTACACGGCTACACGAAGTCAGGGAGATGTGCGATGAGAACATGTCGAGGGTTGCACGTCTCCCAAAAGAGTTTTGAGAAACAGAGTTTCGGCTGAGAGTGCCACTGTGTGGGGAGTGTACCCGAAAGTGTTGAGTTTGTCAAGGTGTTGAACTCTTAGGACATTCGGGGGCGAATGTCAGTTCAGAATGGCCGAGTGTAGTATCGGGGCCTCAATACCCAAATAGGAAACCTCGAAGGGACAATAGAGAGGGAGTGGTTGGCGAAGCGCGCAAAGCCTCGGTTTGGTAAGGTGAAGGTCCCGGGTTCGATTCTCGTTGGGTCCTTCAATATTTTTCCCTAGGTCCCTACAAATGGGGGCTTAGCCGGGATGGAGAGGTATCTACGGCTACACGAAGCCAGGCGCCTGTGAGATGAAAACATCTCGAAGGTTTGCACGTCTCCCAAAAATGCGTTATTTCGGCTATGTGCCACTGTGTGGGGGAGTGTGCCCGAAAGTGTCGAGTTGTTGAACTTAGGTCATTCGAGGGCGAATGTCAGTTCAGAATGGCCGAGTGTAGTATCGGGGCCTCAATACCCAAATAGGAAACCGGCGCGGGGGAATAGAGCGGGAGCGATTGGCGTAGCGCGCAAAGCCTAGGCTTTGCTAAGCCAAAGGTCCCGGGTTCGATTCCTGTTGGGTCCCTCAATATTTTTCCCTAGGTTCCTACAAATGAGGGCTCAGCCGGGATGGAGGTATCTACGGCTACACGAAGCCAGGCGCCTGTGAGATGAAAACATCTCGAGGGTTTCCACGTCTCCCAAAAATGCGTTATTTCGGCCGTGTGCCACTGTGTGGGGGAGTGTGCCCGAAAGTGTTGAGTTGTGTTTGCATTGAGGACATTCGAGGGCGAATGTCAATTCAGGATGGCCGAGTGTAGTATCGGGGCCTCCATACCCAAATAGGAAACCTCGAAGGGACATTAGAGAGGGAGTGGTTGGCGTAGCGCGTAAAGCCTCGGCTTGCTAAGCCGAAGGTCCCGGGTTCTCGATTCCCGTTGGGTCCCTCAATATTTTTCCCTGGGTTCCTACAGTAACGATACTGTACCTAATTATAATTAGAAGGAAAAGTTGTAATTGTAATATACTTACTTTTTCCAAAAACAATACGAATTTATGACAGTGCTTTCCTGCAAAAGGATCCTCTTTTTCTTTATGACAATTAATTTTGATAATTCATTTCTCAATTCTCTACGATTTAATATTGTTCTAGACTTCTTAGAATTTCTTTCCACAGATCGATTTTTGATGTTGAGCATGTCTTTTTGTATCCCTGTTCAAGTGCAATGTTACTTTAATATGTAAGTGCAACATTCCTAATAAAGCAACTGCATATGAATAAAAAAGCTTGTTCTATCCGAATAACGAAAGGTGCTCCAAACTTCTGAGAGATAATTATGTACACTACCGGCTAAATGTTTGGAATCACTGTGCATTGCAAGGTGCACAAAAATTCCCCAAAAATGTTAGCATTTATAATAATTTTCCAACGAATTTTTTATTATTCAAATCAATCGAAACGAGATAAAGTGCTATTGATCTCCATAACATCAATTCCAAATCAATAAAGAATTAGTAGCAGATTCAATATTAATATAAATTGGCAGGTGATTCCAAACTTTCGGCCGGTAGTGTATAGGTGTAGGTACGTACAGGCTGTCCCAGTTTGTTGCGATTCAATTTTGTCAGTATTTTTTATGGGTATAAGTAAGAAAAAAATGTTATATAAACATAGCCCGTCTGAAACCTTATTAAAAACTTGTAACAATAATACGGATGTGCGGTTTTGATATAAAATATGAATAAAATAGCGATATTTAAGTCTAGTCTATTTATGCGAGCTGTGTCTGTGATCTGAGGTCAGCGAAGGTGTTGAATGTAACTTTTGCCAGTGGCATTCTTGTCTTGTGCCGTAATAACCGCAAGTTTGCTATCATTCCTTTCATATGTCGTATTTTTCTTATAACTTTTTAACGAAACTTCAAACGACCTATGTTTATATAACATTTTTTTCTTAGTTACAATCATAGAAGATACCGATAAAGTTTGATCGCAAAAAACTAGGACACCCTGTATATTTTTCTCTTTTCTTTGCAATTGATTGAAATGGCAACGAGATATTGTCTTTCGAACAAAGAAGTAAGGTCGCTGCATGAATGGAAGTCTTCCAGTCGCCCACAGTGGTTCGCAAGAAATTTTTAAAAATTCTTCAGTTCTGTTTCTCTAAAAAGGTTACTTTCATATTTAACATTTTTTTTTTTTTTTTCAAATAATCTGTATATGCCACACGTGTCATTCTACGTTATTTGATAATAAGAAGAAAAACTAGATTTCGTTTCTATTCAATTTCAAAACACCTCAAGTTTGGTACGTTCTTGAAAATAATTCAGGAAAAATGTATTCCACAATAACTGAAGAAACCGAACATTTAATTCACTGATTGCCCTAACAAATTGCGACCCCATTACGCTTATTTTCGAATTACATATTGCCCGAAATAAACGTCTCGATCACAAAGGATACTATCAGCATTATGTGGAAATTTCAGAAAATTACGGCTGGTGATCGTAAAAAGAGCGGAGAAATTCTTCCGTCTTCTCGCGAGTTTCACTGTTACCGTGATTCAGAGAGAAATGACAAAATAGCAGCGGAAACAACGCCGCGGATAGATAGAGCGACGCTTTCTATAACTTCCTCTTGCTGTATCACGCACGCTCTACGCTTTTCCTGTCCCAGTATCTTGACAATCGAGGGCTGACTCGCGTTGATCCCCCTGGCCTATACTTTCGTAATCGAGACGAGAATGGCATCGTGAGTTCGCTTAACGATCGAACAATGTTTTTGTGTTCCAGAACCCTCGCTTAAATAATCCCATGGTCTGTCACGATGAGGCCGACGCTAATGCTGAATTGTAAGTAGATGATTCTTGCCTTTTTTTTCCCTCCCCTTCTGCTTTCTCTCTCTCTCTCTCTCTTTCTTCTCATTGTTCTCCCCTGTTTCGAAAGGGTTAATTAACGTTTTCTCTTTCTCTGTGTTATGCAAATACCACCAGGTGTCCTCGCGATGGGCCTCTTTACCTGCATCGGTGCAATCACCGTATCGATAGACCGTTCCGATAACAAACCCGTAAGTACAGTGAACGATAATGTAATCGAGTTGCGGCAATTAATTGTTCCCCGAGAGATTGTAAAGCGTGGCTTCCTCGGTTTCTTTGTTCTCCACTAGTGGACCTCTGGATTAGATTAACGGAGAAGCAGTGTTTCTTTAGGATGCTTTTATTTGTTTTTACTTGGTGAAAAGTAAGGTTAATTTTGTCTTATTTGATGTAAGTTAAATTTGCCTTAATTTTGGAGATTTATCAATTTCAGAAGTAATTTGCTGCAATAATATTTCGAAACAATTTGGCGGTAAACCATTATTTCACTTTATGTAGTATGTACATATTATGAGGAATATTGTTAAAACATATTGATCCTTCATCTTTGTGTTAATGCAACCGATAGAGAGCTTTTACTTTTTCACGTACGAGAACTCAGTAAGGCAAACAATGTCGCCCTTTGTTGAAGCTTCTAAAACCTCCAGCTTTGAAACTATTTTAAGCCAATGCACACGATCCACAGCGATCGATTGATGTTGAGATGACGCAAATTTTCAGCTAATATTTATTCAATTTCTTCGATCGATAGTGGCTTTCGTGGTAAAGCTTCGGATCAAAATCACCGCGAAGAAGCTTTGTCATTCAACGCTCTTATCTCTTTTTCTTTTTCTTTTTATAAAATATCGTAGTTTACGTTACTCAAGGCTTTATCTCAATTTTATGGATACTTAAAGCTGGATGTTTCTAAAATGTAAGCTGGGAATTTCTGAATGGTTGACATACGTTCAGAATTAACCTTATTTTTCTACCGAACCAACATTTTACAATTTATTTAACTGCTGCAATAAGTACAATTAAAAGTTTATTTCAATACTTAGTTAAAAAAAAATTACGAACAAAAAAATATATCAAACCTATTCACTCAGCACATACTATGTAATTCATGGAACGATGTTTCATTTCGATTGAATATCTTCGATAAAATGTGAAAATTCATAAAATGAAATTTCATGCTATCTCTTAAAAAAGTTCCAAAATGTAATTTTTCACAATAGCCACGCATAAACTGAAATCGCTAAACGAGATTTTACATCAACTTATTTTCAAAACATTTCAAATTACTAAACATCATCACACTATAACCAAATTAAATCACGTGCGTAACATGCAATTCCATTCTTCAGTCATCAACGTACAATGCAATAAACAACACTTCACATCGTCACCTCACACAACCAGCACCAATTTACACATCCAACACGCAATTCCACCAACTTCATCTTACAACCATCGACACACAATCCACTAAACAACATTTTGCAGTACCATCTCTTAAGACACTCCACATTACGAAAACAACCAACATAAAATCATATATCCAACATGCAATTCCATCAATTCCATGCTAGAACTATGGACATACAATCCACCAAACAACACTTTGCAATATCATCTCCAAAAACACTCCAAAATACCAAAAACAGCTAACGTAAAACCATATATCCAAAACGCAACTCCAGCAACTCCATCTTACAACCATCGACACACAATCCACTAAACAACATTTTGCAGTACCATCTCCTAAGACACTCCACATTACGAAAACAACCAACATAAAATCATATATCCAACATGCAATTCCATCAATTCCATGCTAGAACTATGGACATACAATCCACCAAACAACATTTTGCAATACCATCTCGAAAAACACTCCAAAATACCAAAAACAGCTAACGTAAAACCATATATCCAAAACGCAACTCCAGCAACTCCATCTTACAGCCTCCGACACGGTCATCGATGATCGCAAACGGCTGGCGGCCGCTGACCAGCGGCTACGAGAACACGATCGGCACGAACGTGTCTCCCTCGAGCAACCTAGAACGAAACGGACTGCTGCATCCAGTTCTGGGCAAACTTCAAGAACACATGGCTGCGTCTGAAAAGCTGAAACCACAACGAAAGGGTAAACCGACCTCCCATCACGACTACAATCCGCCCAGTATACTAGGCAGCTTCACGGTTCTCGGTCACGCGGCTGCGAAGGCACGCGGCGAGGCCCATGCTGGCCACAGCCACGTGAATAAACACGTCGCGTCTGAGACGCGGGAGTACACCTTCCTGGTCCCTCCGCCCAAGGACGCTTTCCGTTTCGATCTAGACCAGCACCGGAAGCCGATCTTACGAGACAGCTCAGCGTACTTGCGGCAGCCGCAGTTCGTTCCCCCGGTCATGCATCAGCCGCCGGATCCAATAAAGGCGGCTACGTATTTTATCAAGGGCTACACTTCCACCACGAACTCACCCTCTTCGCCAGCCATCCCTTCGAAGAACAGGCACTACGCCGACCCGTACATTCCCCAGTTACTACAACCACCCAAGTATCATCAAGTGAAGCCTTTCGAGTCACTGAAAGTCCCCAACAGCGCGAAACCCTACTTCCAACCACCTGGAACATCTTTGGCGAACGATTTCACTAAAGACAAGAGACTATCCGACTACGATCACAGACAGAATTACGAGAAATTCCCTGGACAGAGTCACAACGACCACATCATCAATCCAGCCAGCACAGGAAATTTCTTCAGTCAAGTGAATCACCCAGGGCATTCCTATAAAACGTCTTACGAGAGAGATCCAGCGTTCCTCGTTCACGAGAGTCACGAGATCAGTTACATCACTCCTCCCTCTGTGTACAATACCTTCAACTTCAGACCTTCCTTGCCTTACGAGACTCTTCTGCCTCCGGATGTGTACATGTCTTCTACGCCACCCCCTACTACTCCTCGTACACAGGAGCCGATTAAGTATCAGCAATCTGGCGACACGCTACAGGATTACAAGCGACCTAGCCAAAGTACCACAGCTAAACAAGTGGAAGCTGGAGGTCACGGTGAGCTTCTGCCAACCGCGGGGATTGCTAACACCTACTACGTGTCCGAGCAGCAGGATTTAACTCCACCACCCTCCGCCTGGCCAGTGCCTAAGAACAAGTATCCAAGTGACATAAACGAGGTTCTGCCACGTGTTAATCCCCCTTCGAAGTTCAATCAGGAGCCAGTGGTGCCAAATCAGATCCAGCAGGTTCCAAAGGTGGTGTACATCGGTCCCCAGGCGTCATCGCCACAGTACCACAGCTCAGTGCTACCAATCGATATTCGACCAGAGAACCAGGAGCCAGAGTATGAGACGCCAGAGAGTATATCGTTGAAACACTTCAACGAGCAACAGTATTTGATTCAGCAACAGTTACTGCAGAGGGATAGGCAGAGACTGGCTGAGCAGGAGAGGCAACAACAGTTGGAAATTGAGAAGCAGCAGCAAGAAGAGCTGAAGAAGAGGCAGGAGGAGTTGAGACAATTGTTGGAGCAGCAGAAGGAGGAGGAAGAGACTAGGTATGCGCTTGAAACAGCGAAGAATCAGACGGAACAATTGACGAGAGTCACTGAGGAACAACCTTCCTATCCGATCCAGCTGGCAGAGTACGATATCCCAAAGGTTACCACTGATCTAGCAGCGGTGATCACAGAGCAGAGCGGTTTTGGAGAGCAGCCAATGGTGCAACAGTCTCAGGTACGTTATTCGCGTGGAATAGAGAGTCTTTGTGAAATATTTGGCTACGGTGGAGCTTTTGGAATCGCGGATGAATGTTGAACTGAACTTGCGGTGTTTGAACAAGGGCAATGTATGATAAGGGAACAAACAGTAAAGGTCTATTGTTATTTTAGATAGGGGGAAAGTGAATTTTTGTTTTTGGTTTTAATATGTAGGAATTGTTAAGCATAGAACGGCCGGACTGGGTCTGTGAAACCTGACATAAAAAAGAAATACATTTTTACGAAGTAAAAAATTTTTATTTACCAAAATAGAAGTTTGTTAACGTCTTATATATTTTAGTAATTCAACAGGATGTTATATCAAAATTTACAGTATTAAATTTCTTTTTCTAGCTGTTTCTTTTCTTTCGTTTTTATTTACTATATTTCATACAGCATCTTGCAGTAACGGATAAGTACCAAGTAGTGCAGTCGTGCAAGAAACGTATAATTTGGAACACAACTTGTTTTCATGAGTCTAATAGACTCAGTCCGACCGTTGTGGGGTTAAGAAAGTTTTCAGTAATTCTTTTAGCGTGTTCTTCGTTGTTTTCAGTACGGATTAATGTTACTGAACTTGAATTGGGAACTGTGTTCTTATAATTTCTTACATACATATGATACTGGAAAGTAACAATGGTATACAAAATTACATTTTATTGTTACATTTGTCAGCAATTAGTATACACGTATTTTTAATACGTGTCTGGCATCACAAATCTTCGATTATTCTTTTGTTAGTGGACCGATCGAAAATTTTTGTGTATTGTATAATATGGACCAAGAGGTCTTTAACGTGATTGTAGTAAATTTTTTTATTAGTTCACTTTTTTTTAAGTTTTCAAGATTACCATTAATTTTATTAAAAATCTATAAAATATCTTTTCCTCCATCTGAACTAAAGAAACAGTGAAATAGGTATCCTAATAAAAAGATATTCTAACGATAAAAAGTAGTGTAGATGGCACTTATGACAGTAGCAGTCACTTATTTGCCGTCTAAGAGAGTGTACAGCAGGTGTTGGGCATCATTTTGAACGCAAACTGTGAATTTGTGTAAGTTCAGATCATAAAATTAGAGACATCGTATGTTATTCAGCGGCAGAAAATCTAAAAACTTTTCTATATAACTTTCTTCGTTGTATTATTCCTTCAGAAAGAAAATATTTTTCATTATACTCGTTGACTTCGTCTAAACATCTTCTAAAAGATGGAAGTAAACAAATTACAGGTTTATCTATAAAAAATTGAAGGTGGTCTTGAAAACTTAAAAAAAAGTGAACTGATAAGAAATGTACTGTAATCGTCTTAAGGACCTCTTTGAACCATCTCATGTGACACGAAAAAAATTTCGAACGGTCCACTAACAACAGAATAATCACGTTAAGTGATTCACCTGGTATAATAAAATGGAGATACTCAAGAACTATATAAACTATCTGTCAAAATTGTGCAACAACATGTCAATTTACATTAATGTAGAATCTACTAACAATTCTTTATGGATTTGGAATTGAAGTTGCTGGGATCTGAGTGATAAGAAATTCGTTAAAAAGTGTTCGAAGTTGCTAACTCGTGGAAATTTTTTTGCAACCTATAAAGTATAGGACTTATAGCTATAACAAATTTATTAATAAATTCCAACATTTCTACAAGCGTCGAGCATTGTTTTCGATCACATGTTGTAAAGTTTCATCAGAGTTTCAAAATTTTGTTACAGGTAACCCAACCAGAGTACGTAATATCAGAGAGCCCCATCGTTCCCAGTCAGGAGTATCAGGACCACTCAAAAAATCAACAGGAACAGGTCAATTACCATGAGCAGCAAATTAATTTACGGTTTCCGAAGCCGCACAAGCCATTGCGCGATCAATATAGGCGGCGAAAACCAAGTACAGTGGCTTACGAACAAACGGCAACGGAAGCTCCCATCCAAGTTCCAGAAACTTCCGTTCCTGTGACTCTACGTATAGAGGAAGCGGCCATTCAAACAACCTCCGCGCCAGAAACGGTGACATTGCCAACAGTGAGCAGTCAAAAGCCTAGAACGCGACGACCAGGTTCCCCATTGCGTCGAAGAAGACCAACAACAACAACTCCAGAATCAATCACTGTACCAGCCGCAGAAGACTATCTAAAATACGACAGACCAGACGAAATATCCCACCAAGTGGACACTTCGAAGAGAAGACGAATCAAACCTACGCAAACTAATTACGAAGAAACTGTAACCGAGAAAAAGGCGAATATTAGAAAACGACCTGGTCATAGGAACAGAGTGAACCATGGAGAACCATTCGAAGCTGAAATCGTTACAGAGATCGTGCACACGTCCTTAAACTCGTACAAGAATCCCACAGAATCAATCCAACCATACAACGAGTACAATCAATTCGTGACTAACCAACCTAATCAGCAGTACGATTACACGTCGCAGAGGTTCGTGACGGTTGAGGACCAACGAGAAGAAACTACGCAATCCGTACAACCAGAATACTTTACGGAAGTGACTCGAGCAAAGCCTGAAGACATTCCTATTAACGAGAATTATAATCCACAACAGGCTGGTGGCGTGGCTACCAATATACCCCTGGAGGATCTGTTTATCAGAACAGAGGGTAATTACTTCGATCGAGCTACTGCCGTGTCCTCGACTAGCAGCAGTGCAAGCACGAGCACCGTTTCAAGCAGCAACGTCGCCACAGTGCCACCAACGACGACGTCAACTGCCCAATCGACCACTCAAACACCACCATTAAGCTCCTCCACGTCCAGATCCCACAAGATCCGACCGATCAGGTATGGGAACACGACCAGGCCGCGTTTCAGCATCAAGGACTACAAGAGTCGACTGGATTACAAGAGTAGATTAGGTCAGGTCTCGAGCACGGAGACGCCAGTGACGCCTGCGTCGAAGCAGAGGGGTAGCTTGAAGAGCCAACAGAGCCAACAGAGCCAACAGAATCAGCAGAACGCCGCTGAAGCAAGCAGAGAGACGACAGGAAGATACAAGTTCGTCTCGAGGGTGAATTACAGGACGACCTCACAGAGTCCTCTGGTCTCGAAGGATCAGGAATCCGTGGCTGAAGATAGTGGAACTACTTCTTCTACTACTGAAAGGAGCAACCGATTCGTGCCCAAGAGAAGACCTATCAATGGTAACGTATACAGAAGCAGGGTATCCGGAACGACGAGTAGTCCTAGTAGATCACAGCATCATTATGAAAGCGAGAATCAGTCGAAACCGAGCACAGCTAGACCAGAGAATGTTTTCTCCTCGTCAGTTCGACGACGACCAATGATGAAGAGCAGACTCAACGGACAAAGGGAGAGTTCGACTGCAGCGTATCCTGAGAGGAAAGAGACAGAGGCCACTGAAATGGCTGCAGAAGAAACCAGTTTCTATTCTGCCGTCACTACGGCGGGTACTACTAGGATAGTAGCTAAAGAGGTCCCCATAAAAGCGGTGGAAAACGGGTCTACGAACATGCCAACAATTGTGGAGGCAAAGAAGTATGCAGAAGAAAGTGAAACTGGACAGAGTTTTCACGCTGAGAAGGAGCAGCCTGTGGAACCGGTTGCTAGTAGCACCGCCAAAAGCGTCGACGAGAGTCAGCTGAGGGAAACTGACATCACGGAGCAGTATTCTACTGCGAGGAGCGAGGAAACTACGATACAAGGGGAGATCAAAGTGGAAACCACGACAACGTTCGAAGTTCGATCGGACGAGGAGGAGTTGTTCGCAAAGGCATCGCAGAGTGTTGCGGATCTGACGAGTTCTGCTTCAGCGTTGTACGACAAGCCTGGAATGTTCAAGGCGGTCTCACCGGAGAGCAGAGTGGTCGCCTCACACTTCAAGATCCCTTCTGATGAGCCCACTTTACCCATCGAGGCCTTTTTCCAGGAGCTATCGAAGAAGAGCTAAGAGCATATTCTCGCTGTTTTTCGTTTTCTGTTTGAATTTTCGTTTCAAGAGATTCTGAATATAGTCGGTAGAACTGATTTAGCGAGGTCGTGAATTCAAGCATTACAGAGGATCTGAAAGGGTTTTAGGATAAAGAAATCTCCTCTTTTTGCTGTGATTTGTTGTTCAAAGTGACATAATTTATTAAAATCAGATGAGCAGAACATTTTTTCTAATACTTTTTGCACATGACTCTCTGGCCAGAAATTACGAACATGAATTTTGTTTCTTCCAAAAAATTTGTAGAAGTGATTTTATTTCTTTTAATAAAAAAATTTCAATACCTAGTTCTACCTTTCAGACAAAAAATATTGATAGAGAAAAGGAGCAACAGTGTTCTAATCTTTCAACCGTGATTTCTTGAGAATTAACATTTTCAAATGTTACGTACCTTTTTCTCAAAAACCGTAAGAGATATTAAAACCAAATTTTAACCACATATTCCTTGTGGGCAGGCAAAGGAGTTGATATATGTTTTGCTGTACCTTCTAACATTTTCTTACTCAAAAATTTAAATGGAAATATTTTTTTTTTACTTATATTTTTGGTTACAAGCAATATTTTTGAATTGTAACATATAAATATGCAGAAAAGGGGCCAAAGAACACGTGGAAAATTTTTTTATGAAGGTTCCTGAGAAAAGGGTGCATAAATTTAACAAATTTAATATTGATACGATAAAGCTTTCTCAGGGCCGTCTATCATTTGTGAATTAATATTTAAAATTTCTGCTTACAATCTTTCATTAAAGTTATATTAAGCCTTTGGCGCCTCCTACTCAATAATATTTTCTGTATTGATAAAACTTAACTGGCAGCTCTTAAATATATTGCAATGAAAGAACCAATTCCAAGTTGACATCGAATAGTCCTAAAGGGCCCCTTATCGCTTCCACCGACTATCTCTACGATTGATTATTTCGAGAATATTCAAATTCTTTCTTTAAAGATTTTGCAAAGAGTAGAACGCTCGAGCAAAAGACATTTGAATTTCTCCTTTCTTCGTACCATTTTTTCCTCGCGTTGTTCAATTAGCACCGTTCACAAATTTTCGTGTAAATAATCGAATCGATGCCAAAAAATGTGAAATTCGCGTGGAAGTATCGTTCTTTCATTGAAGGAAACAACGGTTCTTCCTCGGGATTGAAAAATTAAAGGGGATACGAGGAACATGTAACGTGTGTAGAATACTTACAAGGATACTTTTGGATCGTGTTTTATTAGGTATCCTGTGATGACATTCGTTTTTTTTTCTTTTATCATCGTATCAGCAAGTTCGTGGAAAAAAGATACCAAATGCACGTGTACTCGATTATGTTTAATGAAAATTCACCCTCACCCTATATTCTAGATGTACCTAAATAAATTATTTATTTAAAAAAAAAAAAACAACCACGCGTGACCATTGTTATCGTTCGATGTTTTCGCGCTGAAGCATCCTTTATTTTTGGCGATGGTTTTAGTGTGGATAGACGGGGAAAAATAACGGATGCTACTAAATGTTCTGTAAATATAAGTACTTCGAGAGAACGTTCATCCTATCCTCGAGCTGATTTCCGACGCTCGGCGCTGAATTTGTCTTAACGCCACCTTAATGGATGCATCGTCGCGAACCAACAAACACAATTGGGGACACATCGTTAACATTAATATCGTCATTAATATTAATGTATACGCGAAATTCTATTAAATTTCACGGTTCTGGCGAAAATAAGTCGAAAAATAGAATGGGATTTGTACACGTAATTCACTCTGAAAATTGAATTATTTCTACGAGTACAATAGGACATTCATTGCATTGAAAAATAGAAATGGCCTGTAAGGAAAACTTAATGAGCTTTCTTTGTCAATAGCGGGTGCACCAAACGATCGTTCGAGTCGTTCTTCTTGAAAACAATGGCTCTAGGAAAAATGCATCCGTCCCATATTTTCGACTTATTCGGCCATTAAACGATCTACACTCTCTTTCTCTCTTTCTTTCTCACTCACTCGCACACACTCTCTCTCCCTCTCTCTCCCATCTCATTTCATTCAGTGAAAAACGTCGAAACATATATTTCGTCGATGTATCCGTTTCCTCGCGGAACAGTAGAACAACGAATAAGGTCGGTGTGTCGTGTTATTTATATTAATTAAGCAACTCCATGTACACTGTAAATATATAATATATATATACAATAAATATAGAATATACATAAAATATCTTGTTATTTACATCATTGTTAGCTTGCCGTCAAGCGAGGGAATGCAACGTGTTAGGTCACAGGTCGACACGTGCCCACAGACACGGCATTAATGTTCCAATTTCGTTTACAATCACTTTTAACGATCGTGCACAATCGTTCGTCAGATCGGTTTTACATGTGTAAGTAGTGACGGGGCGAGTAAAATACTAGTTTGAGTAATGATAAAGCTCCCTTTTTCTCTTTTGGTAATTATTTCGTATAGGGGAAACTCCATTAGTTCGCGATCACACGAAGCACAGCACCGTCACCATCACAAAATTTTCGTATCACACACCGACAAGGCGAAATAGTACTTTACCCGGTTACGTAGAACATTACTACAATACGGCATCTTTTCTCTCGAAATCGTTTCTTTTCTCTTCTTTCCGTTATTTTTTCTTTTCTCTTCTCTTAACATAACAGTCCGCTGATTACATACGATTACTTGTTATATGTATATGTATATATGTATGTATACACGTGTATATGTATAGGTGTATAGGCCTACGGAGATTACTTTGATTGTACCTAATTTAGAATTATGCACAGGCCGTACATTACACATTGAATGCGCGTAACAAGTTACAAGTTAGTCGTCGTTCGATTAAATTTCGTTAATCGGTGTCTTGTGTAAAACTCTCATCCTCGTAATTGACAATTAGTTTAATGTTTCTTTAGTATCGTTCTTTTTTTTTTTAATCTCGCTTTCAATTTATCATATTTTCGTTTCGTTCGCTTTAATTTGTTCAGTCATTCAAGGTACCCTTGTGTACAGTATACCGTATATACAGGGTGTCCCGTAACTCCTCGAACACCCGGAAATGGGGGGTTGCTGGGGTGATTCTGAACAACTTTTTCCTTTACCAAATCCGCGCGCGATCGTGAACAAATGCGTACACGTGACTTCTCGGTTATCGATCGCTGTCAAAAAATTTTCACTTTGCACCGCTATTTTTATAGGGCTTAGAGAAATGGTTTTTTGCCGTCATTCCCACGTTTGTATAAATTTTTGAAAAAATTGCAATTAGTCGGAATCGCGCGCGAATGAGCCTCTGTTCTTCGTCCCTGAGCGCGGGCTCTACGCGTGCTCTGATTGGCCACTGTTTTTCGTTAATAATTCGAAAATGAAGCTTCAAACAACATTTTGGTAAAGGAAACAGTTGTTCAGAGTCACCCCAACAACCCGCCATTTCCGGGTGTTCGAGGAGTTACGGGACACCCTGTATATATATAGGGTATATATACATAACAATATTAAACTATCAGACGAAGTAGGCACACGCATACTAAAAAGTATTTACACACCACCCGCGCAGACTCGCGCGAGCTAGAAGTGGACGTTGCAGTTAAACTTCCTGTGTATGCACATCGATAAGTATCACGCGCGAGTACAGTTCAGTATACGCCATTATAGAACGTTCATGGGGCAGGGGAGGGAATTTTCTACGCGCACAGGTCGCAGTAGTAGTTCACCGGGGGCGGGGGGGCTAGTAGAAACGACTATCAAATTAAAAGCAAACCTGACATTCATAAATACTCGCCTACTTTTCGAGTTCAGGATAAAAATCCGAGCATTTCAGAATTTGACATTTCACAGAGAATGTGGAATTTTATTAGATGACAATTCAGAGAATACTTGAATGCGAAAGTGAACTAATTTTTGTGCGTTTCAACTTCGAGAAATTTGTTGAAATTAATCTGTTAAACTTTCATTAGACGAAAGAGAAATATTCATTTATTAGGGTAAGCAACATTTCCATAAAAGAAGATCAAAACCCTTGGTCTCCTGTCGAAACTTTTAATTCTCCCGCGCCATGGGGTGCATCGAGCCTCGTGCGCTCAACTAACTGCTGTACAGTCGGTGGAACAAATATAGCGAGGGCGCAAGTTAAAGTGTCAAGTGGCCAACACTGATTGATGCAGCGGCAGCCAAAACTGGTAATTAACATTTGCGATATTTGAAGTTTCTGTCTGTGTCGAAATTATGGAATTGTCATAAGCCTATCTGATCATCAACGGAGGATTTGAAGAATAAACATTAAACGACCCTGACCGAGGATTCGTACTCTTATCTTCTCGTATTCCTGTCAATTCCCTTGTCGAAACATGCTTACTTCCTGACTGATTTCACGATCCCGCTATATTTATTCCACCGACTATACGTTTATTAGAAAACTCCGAGAAAATTCTGTAAAACGCTCAAATCTTCACTCCGAACCTCGAACACTTCTATCATTCCTCCGAAATGATCCGTAACGATTACGAGGTTACAGTTTGGTCTATGAACAGATTGGTCCTTGTACGAAACTACGCCGGAGTAGTTTGTTTCACGAGCAACAACAATGAAAACCTCGATGCGCACCTAAATAGGAAGCGACGCTAAACACGCTTATCGACGCGTGACCCAATCCGCTCGGGAGCGTTCTTTCTATCACTCTCTCTCGATAAAAAATATACACGATGCAACCGCGAACAACACGGGCAAGTAAGGGGTTCTTCATGATCGCTTCACTTATAGCAACAGTTAAGATCGTTAGAATTATCGAAGCTCACCGTGTTCGTGTCCCATGGAGAGTATTCTTATGAATCGATCTCAGGATCATCGAAAAACAAACGATTAATTAAAAACAAAATGACAATATAGCTAGAGATGATCGTTCTCACTAGAGGTATCAAACAATATTGAACCTACAGTAACTTAACTAGGTGCTTTTCTTGCTTTTTCATCACTTTTGGC